ATGAACAAGCTCTAAATTAACTCATGACAATCCCTTCAGTCTAAGCTGTAGGCCTACCATGTTTGTTTGGTGTCCATTTAAAAAAGTTAGACCGCTAATATGCTAAGCTATAAGGTGGCGACCATGGTAAACATTAAACCTGCTAACCGTTGTCTTTGTGAGCATGGTGGTGCATTCAGCTTCACTGCGCAGTTAGCACGTCTGCAGACTAGTATTTACCTCTTTGATAGATCTCTTTACCACAACATTATTTAAGATCAAGATCACAGGAAATCCTTCAACCTTACTCAGTTTCACCTTAAGACCAGGACACACCAACAGCCAATTTCAGGCCTTCGTTGAGAATCATTCTGATTGGCTGTTCAGATTTAGCACATTTACCACAAGTCATTAGGCGCTTTCACACCAAGTACTTTGCCGTACTTAGTTAATCAGAACTTAGTTAATCAGAACTCTTTAGTTCTCATGAACTAAAGAGCAGATCGCGTTCACACCGGAATAAGTCCCTGAGGGAGGATTAGGCAAATGAAGCCGCTGTCGTCACTTCTTCTTCTTCTGCTTTGGGTTTACTGGCAGGCCACAAACAACTTCACGGCGTATACTGCCACCCGAAGTCCCCGGCCGGAAGTCCCCGGAGTTGGGGACTGGCTTCAGTAGAAGCTGCTGGGACTCCCAGCAGCTTCTACTGAAGCCTTCCGAGTAAATCGCCAGAAACGCCGACACCTCCTCATCTCCACCGCTCCCATGTTTTCTTTTGTGTTGCCATAAGTTAGTCTCTCTGCGTTTGTGCGCTGGGCTAATGCTAATAATGCTAATAATGCTAATGCGAGGAAAATAAAATGGCGGCTTCACAAAACTTTTTGGGAGTTTTACGGGGCGTGGTTTGCAATCCGCCCAGCCAATCAGAAATGGGAACCTTTTTCTCCCATGAAAGTACCTGCTCTCTAGCAGGGACTGAAAAGGGGGTGAAAAGGTTTTCATGAACTAAGTTCTAGTTCCGGATTTTTTTGGTGTGAACGCACATTTTCGGAACTATATCGGAACTATACTGGGAAAAGTACTCCAGTGTGAAAGCGCCTTTTGATGTCAATTCGATGTTTCTGGGCCTCAGGACTGCATTTAGACAAACTTTAGCTCTGCATGAAATCGCAGGAATACGATGTCATCGGGCAAAGCAGGCATTCATCAATTATAAGAGTGCAAGTGCACAGTCCTTGTTGATGACTTTTGTAACATTTACCACATTTCAGCTGTTTAACATGCAATCTCCAGAGTTGTAACATCATTTTTGTTGGTGATACAACTCCTTTTCTGTAACATCCCCTTTCCATTTGTGTCTCAGATGGTTAATGTGTTTGTCTTCATGTGTCAGTCCTGTAATGAAACGGAGACGTGTCCAGAGGTGGACCCTGCCTCTCAGCGTTCTGCCTCACTGAGATGGTTGTAAGTTCTCCTTCCGTTGCAAGCTTTACAGTACAGCTTACCTTACTATACCATAAGAGGTTAAGCCCATTAACTTTAATGTAAGCGCATGTTGAGTAGTATACAGTAAAGCAGCATTTGGGGCTTGGCTTTCTTGAGGATGTCTTTAAAGTTAATAATCCCTGTGATGTTCCCCTTAAAGAATACTTGTGGTGTCTTAAAGGGGACCTATCATGCAAAATGCACTTTTTGATGTCTTTTATACATAAATATGTGTCCCCGGTGTGTCGGGGAACTCACGCAGCGTCAGAAAATAATGTGTGTGTGTGTGTGTGTGTGTGTGTGTGTGTGTGTGTGTGTGTGTGTGTGTGTGTGTGTGTGTGTGTGTGTGTTAGCCTCTGACTTCAAGCTTGTGAACACAGCCCAAACCTTTGCCTTTGTTGGAGGTTCAGTTCCAGTTGAACAGAAACACCATCTGGCACAAAAAAAAACGCGGCGCAGATTTAATACGGCAGATTGGAGGAGGAAGACCTGTGTGTGTGTGTATGTGTGTGTGTGTGTGTGTGTGTGTATGTGTGTGTGTGTGTGTGTGTGTGTGTGTGTAATCTGGATTTCAGCTCTGTTTTCATACAGAATCTGCAGATAGTGTAAACAAACAGCGATCACTGGGCTCAGCGTGTCACTGAGTGCAGCTCAGAAAACCTGTTAACTAAAAGAAACGTAAATGATACAATATACATTTTGATTTAATTTGTTAAAAAGCAGCACATTTTCTAAGAGGATTAGCTGTAACTAGAAAGTCTAGTGATCACTGTAATAGTAATTATCAGCTTTTTTTTGACTGGGCTATATAGAAAAAACTATTTATATAATAAATCCATCGAGGCCTTTTGGACTGGTTGGAGAATATTAAGAACTTTATTCTTAAATGTTTATTTATTTTCAGATGGTGAAACATAAGAAAAAACAGTTTTGCTGAAAAGGAAAGAGTTATCTCAGGGACTCTGGTTTCTGTTTTTATTTCCAATCTCACAGAAAACATGGAAATATTAAACAACTAGCTTTTTATGTTGATGCCTACAAGGTGAAATAAGAAAATCAAATAACTGCTGTTTTAAAAAGCAGCCCCTATTAACTTCAATTCATCCAGATTTGTCTCAGTTTTTAGATTCTGTGTTGAATGTGGAAGCATGCCATAAAAGTTCAATTCATGTACACATTATTATTTTGTGATTTAAGTATTTAAAGTCCTTCAGAGCGATGCTGCCTAATCATTACAGAGCATTAAGCTCAGCACTAAAGAGAGCCTCTGTAAGTCCGGTGTAACACCTTCATTATGCCAGTGAGGGACAATCTGGAGCTTTAATATAAAGTAAAGCTCTACACAGCGCAGAGTTAAACGGTTTATAGATGGACTACGATCAATTATATTACTGCATGAAAACAATAACCTCATTAAACACATGGAACCAGTCAGATAACAGAGCCTAAGGCAGAGAGACATTTACAACCTAATGCACCGTGGCAGATAGCCTTACAAACACAACACCATGCAGCCAACTCTCTCAGACACACACACACACACGCATGCACACGCACACACACACGCACACGCACACGCACACACACACACACACACACACACGCACACACACACACACACACACACGCACACGCACACACACACAGAGTTTGTTGCTCGTTTCCCTGCTTTCTGGAACAATAATCTACATTTTTCCACTGCAAAGCTCACTTGTTTGGGGTTTTAGTTAAGAAATAATACTTATCGTTATTATCAGAGATAGTATTTCACTAAAAACGGTTGCATTAATCTATTAAACAAAGCACAATGACCTGAGTTACAAAGTGTATTCTGTACTTCCTGCAGAGAGATGACACACATGTATTTTCTATCTGACAAAAATAAAACTACAGAGTTACTGATGCTGTTTCAAAAAAAATCCACAGACGTCCTGCAGATAATACAAGTATGTACATTTTAAGTTCCTTATATTTTCTGTGTGATTCCACAGAAAACACTGCAACAGATGAAAACACACACACCACATTCAAAATGTAGGCTACATTTTAAATAATGCATTAAATGAGGGAATGTACACAGTAGTAAAAGTGTTTAGGTCCCCTGTGTCCCATCTTTAAAATAAACACTGTTATTTATTTATTTGACCGTAGATTATTCTTACATACATTTACAATTCTGGTGGAGATCACAGTATCTGAAAGCACCAACTATGTCAGGATGAATTCAAGACAAATACATATATATTTTACCATTTGATAAATTGTGAAGCCTGGGTTGGACAATTATTTTGGATAAATAGTGAGGTGAAGCGTCTGAATTCCCCCAACTTGGAAAACATTATTCAAATAACTTTTGGTTGTAGTTTACATAACATGATAATTACTCATAGCCATGATGTGGTGTATTTTGAATACTTTCTGTTATTTTATTTCCACCAAGCACATTTATTTTTGCATGAAAACAGACCTTAAAAAGTGTAATTTGGGCATTTCTGTACAATCTAAAGTCTTCCAGAGGTAATTAAATCACAGTATCACCTGTAAAAATATAAAGGACATGACCTTAGTATCCTTAATGGATCTTATCTATTATTATTATTATAATTGTAACAGTCTGTTTACTACCATCCTTCAGACAAGTCGAACCACTTGGATTGATTTCTGCTGCACTACTTGATATTACCAACAGGAGGCACTCAGGTCACAGCTTCAGATCTGCCGCCTCTGGGCTGTGTGTGTGTGTGTGTGTGCGTGTGTGTGTGTGTGTGTGTGCGTGTGTGCGTGTGTGTGTGCGTGTGTGTGCGTGTGTGTGTGTGTGCGTGTGTGTGTGCGTGTGTGTGTTTCCACAATGTTTTTTATTGGTAGACAATATAGCGACGAGCCCCCCTCTCTCCCCTTATAAACACACACACACATGAACGCACAGGGAGCGTGCACACGCTGTGTTTGCCGACATGAATTCAAACAATTACTGTCGTTGAGAAAACAAAGCCGAGGACACTGTGCGCTTTTACGCACACGCTCAGAATGGGATTTTACGCACACATGCACACGACGCATGGCACAGTCACACCAATGAATTTAACGGAGAGGTGCACGCGCATGAATACCGAAAGAGAGAGAGAGAGATTAAAGAGAGGAGGGGATATAAATGACAAGTTTGTGTTGTTGGAGACATTAAAGGTCGTCCGTTTGGAGACAGAAGGGAAGAAAAGAGGATTTGTTTATAAAAATCAGCAAGTTGTTGAAGCTCCTCCTCCTCTCTGTGATGTAGAGTCGGAACCTCCTTAATTACTAATTTCTCTACATCCAAGCCTCTCTCTCTCTCTCTCTCTCTCTCTCTCTCTCTCTCCTCTCTCTCTCTCTCTCTCTCTCTCTCTCTCTCTCTCTCTCTCTCTCTCTCTCTCTCTCTCTCTCTCTCTCTCTCTCTCTCTCTCTCTCTCTCTCTCCTCTCTCTCTCTCCTCTCTCTCCCTACCCCCCCTCTCTCTCTGTCTGTCTCGCTTCTGTCCCTCCACTCCTCCATCCATGCCTCTCTCATCCTGACCCTGCTTTCTCTCTCCTCTCTGTCTCTTTCGTTTCCAGCCAGGATAACGGAGGTGGACGAGCTTGGAGTGCTATTGTTGTTATTTTTTTATTATTAATATTATTTATTCCTCGTTTTTCGGGAGACCCGTCACCGGGCATGGAGGATGTAAAAGACCCGCCGACCGTGCACCGGTCCTCCTCCTTCAGTATCAAGAGCCTCCTGCTGCCCTCCAAGTGCGACAGACCGAACCCCGTAGCCGCTGCAGTGGTGGGAATCCCCGGGACCTTCTCTCCCTCTCCGGGCTCCGAATCTGACAAGTCTCTGGAGGAGGTGGACTCTAAGTCTCTGGACCCCCTGGAGGTGGCTTTGGACCCCGAGAAGCCGGACAAGCAGGAGGACCAGGAGGAGGACGGTGGAGGAGGCGCCAAGACCACACCGAACACTAACGGTAATAGTACCGCGAAAAACGGGAAATATGACAAGCCTCCGTTCAGCTACAACGCCCTGATCATGATGGCCATCCGGCAGAGCCCCGAGAAGCGGCTCACGCTGAACGGCATCTACGAGTTCATCATGAAGAACTTCCCGTACTACCGGGAGCACAAGCAGGGCTGGCAGAACTCCATCCGTCACAACCTGAGTCTCAATAAGTGCTTCGTGAAGGTGCCCAGGCACTACGACGACCCGGGGAAGGGGAACTACTGGATGCTGGACCCGAGCAGCGATGACGTTTTCATCGGAGGGACAACCGGGAAGCTCCGCCGGCGCTCCGCCACCTCCAGGGGGAAACTGGCGATGAAACGCGGGCTGCGCTTCGCTCCTCTCGGCTTGGGGATTAACGAGCGGGCAAACAACCCGCTGTACTGGCAGATCTCTCCGTTTCTCTCCCTGCACCATCACCACCACCACCACCCGCACTACAACGGATCCTCACCCGGGTTTTTGAACCAGGCGGGCGGGTACGGGTCGCTGCTGCCCGCCGTGGAGCAGCTGGGTAACGGGGACCTGGGGCGCTCCATCCTGGGGAACAGTTACGGGATGAGCACTTCTCCGGTGGGGCTGCTCTCCGGACAGACTGCCGGGTACTTTGTCTCAGGGACCGGACACTCAGGGCAGCCCGGAGGAGGACCGCCGCCCCCGCCGCACCTCCAGCAGGGGTACGGCGGCCTGACGAGCAGCAGCTCCCCGCAGCACCTGCTCTCGGACTCCCTGAGAAACAGCTCCTTCTCCCCGGGCGTTTCCGCGGGGTTCCCCGGGGTGCTGTCCCATCAAAAGAGGGTGACCCCTAACGCTTTCCTAAACTGATCTCCCCCCCTCCCCCTGGGACGAGGACGCACAAAATATGTTAAGGGCATAATAATAAGTGGTAAATATCAAACAATGATCGCAACAAATATATATGAAGTGTTTTTTTGGCCATATTTTGCCCCGAAGAGCATCGGGTTTATTTTGATGATTTTATTTTCTTGTTTGAAAAAAGGGACAAACTTTTGTTACCCGCGGGTTGTACAACTGTAAACTAGACTTGCCAAAGGTAACGCTTTAAGAACAATTCAAGCTATTTATATCTTGTACAAAGATTTTCAGTACTTTCTTTGAGTCTTTTATTTATGTTTTGTATTTATTGTACAATGTATTTAAATTCTATTCGTCAGTGTATACTTATCAGTATTAAGGATTATGGGATGGGGAGGCGGGTGAAATAAGACATACAGGGTTAATAATAATTATTTATGAATTTTGAGACAATCAAGGAGAAACACAGACAATCAAAACGTTTTTCTTTTCTCTTTTTATGAGAGGAAAAACGTTTGAATATAGGTAAATAATGAGTAAATAAAGCCTTAAATCAGCAGAAACAATCAGGGGTTTCGAGAGGAAAAAATAAGCCTACAATCATATCTCTACTCAGGTTAACCCCGGACAGGCCTAACAATAATAATAATCACAATACAAACAATAACACTGCTCTCTGTGAAGAGTTTCCTTCCAAAATAATGATATCCAGAATAATATTCCCAACATGGCAGAGCCGTAGTAAAGCTATAAATATCCTGACTGCTGCCTTCAGTGCTAAAAATTGCATTTTGACTTCCCCTTTAAATAAATGGATATAAATGTTTTTGGAATAGAACTCTTCATGTACAATATTATGCAAAACAATGCAGCTGTAACACAAGTTTATATATGTTGTATGTTATTATAAAAGCCCAGATTGTCCTAATAACTTCAGTTCAGTGTGTGTGTGTGTGTGTGTGTGTGTGTGTGTGTGTGTGTGTGTGTGTGTGTGTGTGTGTGTGTGTGTGTGTGTTAATGTGTGTGTGCAGGCCTGAATGAGCCTAAAAGCTCCTGCGCATGTGCGCTAAGGCCCGCCGCACAAACACAATCTTATTTTTGTTCTTAAAACCATACATTTTAGCAGCTTCTGTGCCGGTTTAACGCCCCGCTAACCTGCTAGTGTTTCCGGGTACACTTTTTCAAAGTGACCGGTGGAGGATGGAGGCCTCTGGAAGTGTTTGTATTCTGCAGTTTTTTTGGGAAGCGGCTGCAAAAAAAACCCACAGGCCCTGAACCACACACACATCCATACAACTGCTGTCCGGTGAAAAACTCGTATCTCCAAAACGTTGTATGTTGTTGCGTAAATTCATAATAATTATAATTATAATAATAATAAATAATAATCCATTTTATCAAGCATGAAAAATCATTCTTGGCTTTGAAAATAGACAACAGATCTCAACTTCATTCATTTATTTAAATTTACTCTGACTTGTTCGTTTTTTTGGTGCACCAAGCTGAAAAATGAGTCCCTAAAAATGCACAATAACAACAAATGGAGATACGAGGTTTTTAACTGCAGTGATAAATATGCAAGGATGTGGAGTAAAATCTGCACAGTAATACCGATAGATACCGATATCAATGTTTCATGTGACCGTGTTAACGACACCGAGGTTTCAGAGGAAAGACAACTAGGTTTTGTAAACTCAAAACGGGAAAAATTGTTTTCACATTTCATTTCCAATAATGCATTATTTTGACCTATTCCTGTAAATCTTTTCATTATTTAGCAGGTTTCACAAACAGTCTGCTTTTTAGCCCAGCATGTCCAGGTTTTACTACACATTTTTATTTGTATTAAAGGGAACCTAGATGTTTTTCCACCACAGCCATGTTTATTTGGAAGTTCTGGTTTTAAGCATCATATTTTTTTTTGGGTTTACTGAAAGATATTTTTTATCCTTAATAAATAATACCCTTTAAAGGTTAGTCAGTATTTAATTCCACATACAATCCACTGGCCATTTTACAGTTAAATCGATATACTGGCTGATAAAACAATATTAATAAGTACATTTGATGGTAACGTTAGGTTTTCTTTATCAACATTAAAAAATAATTGGGTCTAAATTTGTGAACCTATTCCAATTTTCTTTTCTGACAGTTTACAATGGACATTTCAAAACAAAATGCAAACAGCAAAAACCTTGTGATTGCATTAGATGAAAACCTAAATGTAAATTCAGTTATTTTTAAAGTAAGCACACCGAATGATCTGCGTTTGACTATCAAAGTATTGATTATTGTATTTGTATGGATCAGTCTGTTCTCAGATCTCAGGTCAGTGCTCTGTGAGCTCTGAAACCCAATCAGGATAAAATATGAGGATGATATTTCACAAAACAGCCATTCATAAACGCTATGTGTCAAATTAAAGCCAATAAAATGTCAATAATAGAAAAAAAGGATTTTAAAAATGAGAAAAAATAAGTGAATTAGGGAAGTAAGGAGATGTTTTTCAAATTAAAACCTGGTTTAAGTCTAAAGTCATGCGCTGGCATTAATAAGAAACTGCACTGTTGAATATTTCATTATTAATACATTAGCATCTGTTTTAGGCCTTTTACTGCAAGACTCTATCTGAGCGGCAGGTTGGATTGAATTGAAATTGATTTAAATGTGGGTATCTTGAATAATTGAAATGTCAAACAGCTGACAAACCGGAAGCTGTCTGTTTTTCCTCCCAAAAACATTTTTCTGACATGTTTTATTTTGTATTCCTTTTACGGTGCAAGGCTAAATAACTTATATAACCTCTGAACAAAACAAAAAAAGCCTCCTGAAGCTCACACACACACACACACACACACACACACCCACACACACACACACACACACACACACACACACACACACACACACACACACACACACACACACACACACACACACACACACACACACACACACACACACACACACACACACACACACACACACACACACACACACACACACACACACGTTGTTGATTGGCAGAAGGCGGACCTCGATCCATGTCATCTTATTCCATTTGGTTCTGTAAAAAAAAGGAAATTGTTCTGGAGTTATTTTAGTTTTAATTCTCTTTTTTTTGCACTTGTGTCGTTAGCGTTCACTTGTATGAAGTGTGTACTGTCTGTTTTCGTTGCTGTCTGTCTGTTTTTTCAGAGAACTTGATTAAAAAGGATGAAATAACCCGAAGAAGACTTGTATGCCTCTTGATGTGGAGGGGGAGAAGAGTGAAGCATCTAAAAAGTTTAAAACAAATCAAAAATATGTTCAGAGGGCTCTCTTTTTGTAAATAAGAGTATCTCACTTTTGAACGACCCAGAACATATCTTATGATTATTTTTAAGAGTTTTGTGAATGAATTTAACTCATAAATAAGTATTTAATGAAAAACAGAAATTAGTTGGGTGTCCTATTTAAAGTTTGACTTTATTATGGAAAACTTATAGCAGACATAACTTTTTAAAAGCTATTTTATTCATGTTTTATTGTATTATCAGTAATATTAGAGGCTTTAAAGACACGTTTTTTGTGTCAGTAATGAATTAAACAGTTAAGGATGTTGCTTTATAGTATTTATTTACAGTTTTCATTTCTTCATGGCTACTTTAAGGGATTAAATATTATTTTCCTTTTCAATATGTATGAGATGTCCTCTAACGACTGCATTTTGATTTTTTCAAACGACTAAATCTGCCGTTTTAAAGAGGAATTATGTCACTGATTGTCTTCCATCCACTTTAAATTAAAGTTTTAGCATTTTACCTCATTAAATAAACAATTTTAGCCAGTCTATTCTGTACTATGTAGCAGTGTGAACCGTCACATTGAAGTACTTGGAGTAAGATTACCTACCCCACCTTTAAGAATACAATTACTAGTTTAATATAAAGTTCATTATTTAATCTACAACCTTTTTTATCATGTGCCTGTTTACTCGTATAATAATGTAGATATAGTTCTCATTAAGATAATACATAAAGGCGTTTTAAATGTATTATATTAAAGTGGACCTATCATGCTATATTTGAACAATATATTGTAGGGCCATACCTATACAAAGTATATAAATATAGTTTTTTTTTCAAAATACCAAACAGATCCTGCATTTTAGCCATGCCTCATTTCGCTCCATTTGCTCTTTCCAACCCTGTTTTTGCAAGGGGCTGATTCTGTGAGCTGCAGCTGACCACGCCCCCCTGCAGGAGAGGGGAGCGTGCTCTGATCAGCTGCTGGGCTGTCAGAAGAGGGGGAGAAAAAGAGATCTCCGTCCTCCGTGTTTTATTATATTATTATATCGAGTCGTTATTCATTTGTTTTAAAGCTCAATAAATAACAAAGAAGACCTTTGACCGGCACTTTTCAAATTTTGTCCGGAAGATTTAAACTTTAACGGACATCTTGATCGGCGAAAAAAAATCTAACTGAAACTCTGCCGCACGGTCCCCTCGTTCCTTGGAAGAGGCGGAGAGGTGGGTGTTTGTCATCTGCTGGTGGACTAACCGGAGAGAATTACAGTGCTTGCCTCGACGGGGAGGGATTGCATTGAATTAAAGCAGCAGGAGCAAACGCTTGCCTCGGGGAGGGAGAAAAAAAGCCACAGCGGAGAATAAACAGAAGGGCAACCATGGCAACCATGCGCGGGAAGTCTTCTTCGCTGCTTTTGTGGCAGACTACAGCGCCACTTACAGGCCTGGCATATGTACTACAGCGTCTCCAGCGCTTTCGAGCGGCAATGGCCGTCTGTGGCCCAACCCCACATTCCCCTGATAGGTGGAGAGTTGGCCCAATAGCCGTAGCGCCACCGTCCTGACGTCAGGACAGTGTTCAAATCTGGATCAGTTTTGATCAGATCCGTTGCAGCCCCTTTTTTAGAGATTTGGGTATGGAGGAAAATAGAGAGGGTTGTGTTTTCTGACACTTGGTGAGTTCCCTGGAACACCGGGGACACATATTCATGTATAAAAGACGTACAAAAGTGCATTTTGCATGATAGGTCCCCTTTAATATTAGAATATTATCTATTGACTAACATGTAAATTGAACTGTTATTATAAACATATATCATCCTGTAGTGGATTAAAGTCAATGTTCAGGTCCTAAAAAGTGAAGTTTTTAAAGTGTTCAACTCCTTTTAAAGTACCTTTAGCTTGAATGAATCATTACATCTTAATGAAAAGAATATAACAAATAAATACAACATATAATACCGAATTATAAAACAGACTATGCTGAATAAATGAATAAATCCATAAATCCATAATTCCAAAGTCAATCTTTTTAATAATAATAATAAATAATTGTGTAATAAATTATGACGAAGGTACATACATGATATAAATATGTGACCTAAATAAAATAGTGAAATAAATAAATAAAAACATGAATAATAACAGTAAGTGAAAGAGATTTTTTTTAACCCTTAAAATTGAAAGTGGTAAAATGATTATGGATATTATTATTAATATAAAACACACACTGACCCATTATGTCCTGTTTCTCTGTGAAAAGTGTCTCTTTCTGTCTGTTTGTTTCTCAGTGTCTGTCTCTGTGTTGGACTGTCTCTCTCTCTCTCTGTCTCTGGATATGTCTTCGTGATCTGTTAGTAATGACTGTCACGGTTTGTGTCTTTACTGTCTCTGTGTGACTCTATTTCTGCCTTTATCTTGTCTGTCTTTGTCTCTCAGTGTCTGTCCGTCTCTCTTTCTGTCTCCATCTGTTTTCTCAGTTTCTTTCTCTTTCAGTTTCTCTGTCTTGTCTGATTCTCTGCCTCTCTTTCTGTCTGTCTCTCTGTCTGTCTCTCTGTCTCAGTGTGTGTCTGTCTCTCTGTCTGTCTCTCTGCCTCTCTTTCTGTCTGTCTCTCCGTCTCTCTTTCTGTTTTCTCAGTTTCTTTCTCTTTCAGTTTCTCTGTCTTGTCTGTCTCTCTGCCTCTCTT